GTTTCGCAATACACAAAAAAGCAATAATGATATAATGAACTAAATAAGCGTATGCGAATGATACGTACAAATAATTGAAAGCGCATGCGCAGTTGCATCAAATGAATAATGTATTTGTGTGTGACTAAGGCGATGTTAAATCAAAACCAAGTGACACGTGTATATTAACATACAATAACGAACAAACACTCAGCCCACATTAACTCTTCTAATCTCATTTCATAAATATGAACAGTGGTTAGTAAGCACTTATTGTTGATTTCCAGCTGCGTTCGTCTGGTTATTGTTGTTAATACCAACTCAGTGTTATATATCATCCATTTTTATTCATACAACTGACGTTTTTTTATAATTTTCAGGAAAATTTATTACATCATAGACATATTGATCTCCAAATAAACGGAAAACGAAATGTCAACTGTCACTTTATACACGAATAACTGCGTGAATTACTGCTTGTTCTAAACACGCCATTAATTCTTATTAAATATCGACTGAATATCGTGTGTGACAATTCTTTCATTTCCGAGAGCATAACAGTCGTCCCTATACCACGTTATATTCGATATGGCTCCCGTGTGATGTGTACATCACTGAGACAAAATTCGAACGCGCTACACGACAACTGAGCACTTTAATTATATTTATATAAACTCTAATTTGATTTTAAAGAGAGCATGATATTTACATTTTATCTTTTTTACCAACGAAGGAAATAAAGTGTATTGTCAAACTCTGCATCCCAACCATATTGGAACATTACACTTCCATTAAAGGGGTGGAAGACCCATAATGAGGGTGACAGTTGATGTACCCAAGGCGTTTCTAGGACCACGTGCGAACATAATGATAAATATACAAACAAATTTGGCGATATCTATAGAAAAAAACAAACAGTTTATACATTTTCAATAATAATTAAAACTATGTAATAGATGTGTTCCCAGTAAATCTACATAAGAGGAAACGCTATCAATAAGATACAACCGTTGCAAATAACCTGAAAACAATGTTATTTTATGTATACGTGACTGTGTATTTTATTTTATTTTTATTTATTTTTTTAAGTAGCATAGCTCCTTAAGTCCAATTTCAAGTTGGATCCAGTGGTACTACATCACTAAATAAACAAGTTCATACTCACGAGTTATAGCAGGACATTTCAGCCCCATGGTTGGAATAATCAGTACTCGTTGAAGTATTGCGATGATTCAAAAATAAAATCTTCCAGCTAAAAATTAAAACTGTCATCTTTAAGGCCGTGCAAAAGTGTCACTAGTCAAATAAAACACAAATTTAGAAATCATAATTAACATAATAATACATGTTTTAGTGCAAAATTCCCAAATTGATGAGCGGGATGGAACACGTGGACAGAGTCCCAAATAGTTGACACAATAGATTGTAACTGATACCGTGCCTACGATGAGGGCGTAATTCATTAAACAAATTCAAACCAGAACCACAAATAGTTGTTTCAGTACGTTCCAATTAAAATCGAAATACAACTCAAATAATCGAATTTTCTTTCCTGTAAAATATTTTCTATTTAAATATGATTACTTATAGTCGGCGAATCGTTCAGAGAAAGTACACCAGGAAATTAAAATGGATCGGTCTGCATATTGCAAACAATGTACGCCCTCCCATGTGACATTCTAAATTGCTGTCTATTTATTCGACATCTGATAAATTTAAATCACAATAGCCAAAATAGCATTATGTATATTTCATTTATTGTCTGGGCTATTGCAACGATTCGTCAAATTGAATCGTCTGGGTGTCTATTGTTTGCCCCAGGCAGGTGCGACGTGCCGTGAATGTGCGAGTGTGTGTTATCTGGCGGCGCATCGTTTCGGATCAAGAGATAGGTCTTGCCAATGTTGGTATGTTTTTCTTCTTTTTTTCACATTATTCAGTATCAATACGCAGTGACGGTGTATATATACTTATTATTCGCGATGTATACATATTCGGTAAAACGTCGTTTGATCGCTATCTGTGCAAAATGTGAACCGTCCATGCATGGAGACGTTTGTTATTTTAATAGTACAGCTCGTGGCAGTATGAGGGTGGTGTGCAGGAAGGTTAGGAATGCGATTATTATTTCGGCAACGCACGAAAGATTCCTCTCTATGTGTGAAAAGACATTTCGCATAATAGTGTTACTACCGATAGTTGTAAAAACGAAGCAAAATATTGCCATACCTTATCAGTCAGAGCGGGCCTTTGTCCCGGAGATAAGGAGAGCGTGGTGATATGATAGAATGTGCGGCTTATGTGTTGAACATGTCTGTTTGTAATATATGTACTTTGTTTACATCGATTTTGATTCAGCTGTCTTAGTGCAGTTTTTACATTTTTTGATCAGTTCAAGTTTTTGGAGAGTGTGTGTGCACAAGTGCAACTCCACGATGTATAGACCATGTGGCACATCACAAGTAATTTGAACTGGGCGTGTTTCGTTTAGTGGAGTATCATATTGGATACCAATATTTGAAATACAAACGTGTTGTTATTTGCGTTTTTATAACTGAAAATTTCAATATTCAGTTGTGTTTTGTACAGAATATTTATAGAGTAATTTACGTAGTTCGTAACAAATGTGGCTGGCCGTCTTAATTACGTTATATTTATTACGTCAACTGAATTTGTATTTATTTTACAAGTCTGGATACACAATTGGGTAGATATTGTTCACTTTACGAAATACAGTGTAATGGTATGAACTTTATTTCGCAAAACATGGCGACCCTGAACTGAAAGGTTTGTAATTTGCTCATTTATTCTGGCGAAATATGAATGGACGTATGCCGCAAAACTGAACTAGGTTGGCCTAAACTACAAACCTCATAAGGGGGAGCGTAACAGCCGTCTGGTGTATAGTAATTACTAATTTGCCCAAGGCATCTAAGGTCACGGAGCTTTACATAAGAACAAAGAATGCGTTTTCTAAATTTGTCTGTTAAGATGAACAAATATGACAGTCGTCTGCGCGATATCATAATCTGATCGCACGTGGCGATCGTTAATGTGATTTTTGAATAACATTTCTTAGTGGTGCAAACATAAAAATGGAATTGTTTGTTTTAAAATAAAGACAATATAACTTTTGCATTTTAAAGTCACGGGAAAATAGAATTCACGTATGTCTCGGATCTATTTAGTGTTTCAGTACAAAACTCAGAAGAATTCTGTTTGATTACCAAATTTGACTTGGCGCAAAATGTTGCGTAGAAGAAAGCTCCGCGGGGAAAAAAAGTATTGCAAAATGCCATTTGACTATGATCCTTTTTGGTGCAATAAATTCGAAATGTCGCCATTTTCGTATTGAACTATGTCTTTTTTACGATCGCTAAAAATGCAAGCGTTTTGATAACGACCGTACTTTCTATAGTCCCATTATTAGAGTGGTATACATTGGGAGATGGAATAATTAGACCACGTGGTGTAAATGATACGATGAGCGATGTTATCATTAAAATAATATTTCATACATGATATTACATTTTGTCATTTTTATTGCAATTTAAAAAAAAATCATCATAACAATTGACATCATAAATCAATGTAAAAGAATATACATTTTTTTAAGTGTAACGTTTGTATGGATAATTATGCTCTTCCGTGTGACGTCGTTACCCCCCATCGAATTTATGTTCCATGTCAGTGGTGCTTTCATTATTTACGGTTTTTATCTGATAATCGGTGTTGACAGGTTATTCAAATGGTAATGTTTTCTACTCTTTTGTGTACTGCATGCATTAGAAATTTCCTTAAAGACTGGTATTCAACAAAAAATGGAGACCGTTGCGCTTGCGTGGGATCACGGGGTATTTCGCTGTTTTCACAAGAAGCATGAATAAGTCTGTTCTGACTGAATCTTTATAGTGGCACATTTTGTTGTTGTTTTGTGTTTCTATTTGTTGTTGTTTTACACGCTATTGTTCGTCTTTTCGTTATTGCTGTCCTTGCGTCTATGGCGCCACCACCGTAGTATTTCGTCACGTTCTGCATATCGATGCGTACTCTAACTGTAGTATTAAATAAGTTTTTAATTTCGATATTTCCGCTGATAAGAAAATCCACTAAAATTATTTTTATGTCATCATATAAAATAGCGATATGACTTACTGGTTGTTTCACTTTTTTTTAAATTCGTGAACTAGCAAAATAGTGAAATGAAATGGTTGTACACTGCAGTTGTATTGTTATTGCTATGAGATGGTGCTTACCGATAGTGTGATATGTGTACTGGGCGTATGTGCGTATTTTTTACCTGTCGCGTTTCAATGAACACAAATCTAGTATGCTGGTTTCAAAAGCTTGGATAACAATTGTTAAGTAACCGAAATAACCGACATACTGACATGAAGCTCTTTTTTATGTAGCGAATAGACTGTCTCTCTTTCAGATTTTGACTCGAACTGAAAATTAATCTTTACATTTAGAAGTATCCCTCAAAAGACCCCAGAAAACATCCGATAAATTAAAAACACTCTTCTGGTATTGACTAAATACTATCAATTCGTTATCATAAACGTTGTGTTTTGCCAACCACACTATGTGCATGCCCCGTAGATTATGCTTTTATCTAGCGTCAATCTTACTCGTATTGGCGCCATATTGTTTCCAAAAGCCGGTTCAATACATGTATCTATATTATTTTATGTCTCTATATTCCCTGTATTGCCATTTGCACCTGCGTCACCAAATCCAGACAACTACAGAATTGATATTTTATTTTATTTCACACTTGGGGATTATATTTCAAAATTGTTTTTTTTGTTTTTACAAAAATTCTCAAACTGCATTCCTGCAAACTGACATAAAATATTCAACAGATAAAAGTATATTGACAATTAAACAAACAACTTGAAGATTAAACAAATTACAATATAAAAGTAGTGTACGTGAAAGTGCTCACGAAGACGAGACTGCCCTCATGTGACTGACTCTCTTTTCTGGAATCTGCGATGCTAATATATTCATTAGGCTCGAGCACTTCCGTCATGTGAAGGAACGCACGAACGACCAGAGTACGGAGTCCAACGCCCCAATCAGTTCAGTTAGTCAGTTAGCAATACTGTCATCCGGTTCATTCATTAATGCACCATGCAATACTATTGTATTGTATATTGAATTGCCGAATTTTCACAAACGGTAAGTCTCTTCTTGCGTTGTTCTGGCGGTTAGAGTTTTCTTGGCCGCTCCTCTCTAGCTCGCTAATTTGAGCGTGATTTTGTTTTACAGACAAGAGTCCGGCAACAAGTTGTCACTGTATACCAATGACCACTGCGTTACGCAAATCGTTTATCATGATTCGGTTGTTTTTATTCTATGAACAATAACGTACAATACGACACGACATTGTACAGGAATTGTACACGACCTCTGCAGGCAGGCACGCGGCAAATTATCATTTGGCCTGACGTCAAGTCGCGGAGAACGAAGCGACGCTTTATTGACTTGCACTGTCCAAATGATTCTAACATAAACAGTTTCAGAGAGTTGTCAAATATTGGGAAGCGCAGGGTCAGATCCCGGTCAAACCAATTTGCGTGGTCGCAAGATCGTGCTCCACACTAAACTACAAGTTTTGTTGTTTGCGAAATTTAACTTGTTTCCAGTTCTAATTGCGTGAAAATCGTAAGCGACACCCAACAGCGGGGGAGGGGGGTGTGCGTGTCTGTGGCTGTCGGATTACTGAGGATGTCAGTTATTCCAAATTTTTGATAGATAGTTATTGGTCGTTATTATACACAGACTTTGTCAATAATTCGTGTGTATGCACAAGTCAAGTCTGTCCTCTGTTGGCCATCCTTTGTAAACAGTACTATCAATGGGGTTGCCGTCTTGTACAAACATAACTGTTTCCTGTTAATACAATCATGTATATGGAATTGATTTAAAATGTGGCAGATGGTGACTAGATTTGCTGGGAATCCAGTACTAATGGTATTTGTTAAAGTAGACCTAATCTTTCTAAACTGCTAGTTTTCCTTCATTTTGACACTAATTAGACGGCTAACCTCTAAATTCACATCGTTTAGATAAAATTACAGATAATAGAAAATAAAATGTTCATTGAAATTGTGTCTTAAAACGAAAAGTTGATAAAGAATTGTTCTTAAATGGTGCTGCTTGTGCTATGTTGTGTTTGGTACAGGTCCCAAAGCAACATACCTACACCTGTGTAAAGTACATTGGGGGGGGGGGTTCGCTCTGCATCTGGTAAAAAATGGAGCCAAAAAGATCAACGATGAGGGCATTTTCTGTTAAAAAACTTTGCCGTATTTTGCCAAAAAGTGGCCAAAAATTAATAGTAAAAAGATATGCTTGATCATTAAAATGGGTGTCAAAACAGCAGCACGTACCTGTATACCTTAAATATGGATGGACCCCCCACACTTTGTTTACACAAAATTTGAGCTTGATTGTAGAATCTCACAGCCAACTTGTGAACACGTTTACTGTGACTAAAAAAAAGAATGGAACAGCAATATTGCAGTATGAGACACCTTTTTGCTAAATAAGTTCATGGTGTAAACCATGTAAATGTAGGGTCCCATGATATTTCGGGTAAGGGGTGTTAAGACATTACAGGATATGATTATTTATTTATGAAGTTGTTTGATTCCACAAACAAGTAAACAAACACTGTAATAAATGCAGATGTATTTTTAACTGTCATGGCAGTGAGATATTGTTTTGAAAGTGCTCAGGCAGAAATTTTGTTCTGGATCACAGCCTTGCAGTCAAAAGCATGATAAAAAAAACTGCATTTGAGATTGAAAACGTTAATGGTCTGTGCACTGGTTAGCAACTGTTGCATCAACACAATTTTTGCTAAATCAAAGTTTGGAAATCACATTGACACTTTAGCAAAAGTAAATATAGTAAAGTACATGTTGTAAAAATAATAGTTTGTATTTACAAAACATTGGCTATTAATATAATATGGTGCTTTTAAAAGGAGCAGTGTGTGTGAAACTGGGAGTAACAGACCACTAACATGTCAATCAACATGGTATCTCAAATTTACAGTGCTACACCAAACATAAACCACATCAAGGATATTAGTAAATGGAGCACTGTACTCTTGAAATGTACACCTTGTGTTCAAAGTGTCTGGAGTGTGAAGGCCATCAGTTGTAGAAGTGAAATGGAATTATGTAGGT